AAATAGGAACTGAGCCTAAACTGAGCTTTCTTGAAGAGTAGCAAAACTCGTGACACTTCCGACAGGAATTTCCCTCAACTGCTAGCGCAGCTCACTGAAAGGCCCAGCCTCAAAGTGCGCTGGGTGAAATTCATTGAAGAATGACTTTAAAGGCTTTCTGTCATCTTTCATATGACTGAGACAGATTTTTGAAAACCGCCACCTCCGCTTTTCAACGCATTTCTTGAGGCAGAAGTCGCTTCGAGGACAGGAGTATGTCGAAACCCTTTTAGCCAACAATAATTTGAATTTCTATGAGATGGAAAGACCAGCATGGGCATGATTGGCAACGATATACTGAACATTATTGCTTTCATATCAAAAATCATAAGGTTGTGCTACAGCAGAGATCTGGTGTTTCAAGATTAGGGGCTCACGATCAGAACGGCGGATACTTTTCAACCGACCCAGTAGAAAGTAGGATAAGACGTCTCGCTGTCACGACTTCACGAATTGCGCTAAACTGGAACGAAACCTGATCTGCACCTTGTGTTTGTTAGTTTATTTCTCACTCTCTCCCTTCTGTGCTTTCCAGCTGCCGATGCAGCACTATGTGGAATAGTCGAGATTGGGCTCAGTGAGTGTTTACATAACTGTTGTGTGATCACAAAACGTTGATATCAGGAGACCTGCGGATACCCAGTTTTGTTAGGTGTGCATTTTACCTATCTGCAGGGAGGGCAAAAATTACGGTAACAAGAGCGCTAACAAAACATCTCGATTTCCTTCGAACCTAATAAATGCATCTGGTTGAAGAGACCCCGGAGAGAAATCACTGGACACAACAGCAAGGTAGACCGCTTGTGCACAAAGCAAATATTGTGCAACATTGGTTTTGCAGAATTTTCCGAATTCATGACATTAAACGAGTGGCCAACCTTATTTCTCCCGTTTAAAGCAAGTGGGTTATTTTCCGTGGAGTCTACTGAAGACGATGGGCTACTACAAGTATCACTAAAGCATCGATGAATTAAAGAAGATCCTAGGGTAAGCTCGATGTCACCTACCTACACAACAGGCCACGATGCGTTCCCGAGATGACTTCACTCAGGTATAAACGCAAGACAGCGGCCAGTCCAAGAAGTGATGTTGTATTCTGTTTGGTAACTTCCTATGAATACATTGTTGGTGTCCACGTGTGTCTTCCTGGCCGCATTGCTTTCCATGAACACTTTATCTTGTTACCGTAATTTTTGCCCACCCTGTAGAATGTCCACAAGCATTTCGCGAACGAACAGCAGACTGGCATGCATACATATACACAAGCTCACAGACACCGATTTTGTGAGTTATGAAACGAGTGATCTATTATATTCAGGTCGGAAACCTTCCCCTCACCAATTCAGAACAGTGTTGAGCAAGGCGATCTTTGTAACTGTTCTCACCGGCGTAGCAACAAGAGCCTTTGTTGCCCATGGTTGTAGAAACTGGAACACCAACAAACAGATATGTATAAATGCGTTTCGAAGCGTGTAAACTTCAACAGCGTAAACGCATACCA